TCGTGGTTGGCAAGTTGTTCATCACGGCAGTCTCCCCGCTTGGCTAAAGGATAATGATTTTCTGGTTCGTGGGCATAGGCCTCAATTAGACTCAATCATCGGTTGCTTTAAATCTATTTTCAGAATACATACTGAGACAGGGAATATTTGGACACACTTGTTAGGTAAGTATGTTAATGATTGTTTATTGCTCTTTATTAACAGGCTGTGGAAGCTTTGTAGCTATACTTGTATATATCATATTTCAAAGTGAACACTACGTGCAATGGCAAGATAAAGCTGTTCAATCCGCCTTTTTTGTTGGAGCCGTTCTTTGCCTCGGTTTCTCTTGTCTTTTTCATACGTTGTATTGTCATTCTGAGGCTATTGGAAAACTTTTTAACAAGTAGCGTACATTAAATTGCAGACGTGTTTATTATGTAAAAATTTTGATTCCATTTTCTTTTCTTTATTATAGGCTGGACTACTGTGGCATTGCTGTCCTGACAATGGGTTCATTTGTCCCTTACCTATATTACTCATTTTACTGTTCATTTTGGCCCAAAATCATATACCTCTTGCTCATAATTGCTCTTGGAACAGCTGCTATAGTAGTCTCTATGTTTGATAAATTTGCCAGTCCACCTTACAGACCTCTCCGCGCTGGAGTTTTTATCGGGCTTGGATTGTCTGGGCTGATTCCATGTATACATTACTGCTGGTTTGAAGGATTTTGGTCGTCCGTGGAAAATGCATCCCTGGGCTGGCTTATTCTCATGGCCCTGTTATATATCGGCGGCGCCATTATATATGCCGTTCGGATACCCGAGCGCCTCTTTCCGGGGCGTTTTGATCTTTGGGTGCCTACACATTTTTTAATCTTTAGCAGTGCTGGCTTTTCAATTTCTAATGCTTATAATATTTGTACTTTTGGCCTAAATAACATTTTTAAATGCGTAAATATCTATTTTTAATATTTTCCCCTTTACTAATTAGTTTCTGGTAATATTTCTAACTATTCTATTATTTGCTTTTATGCCTTAAAGAAATTCCTTACTTTTTTCAGTTTCAAAGCCATCAGATATTTCATGTATTTGTGGTCGCAGCTGCTTTTGTACATTACCATGGGATCGTAAAGATTGCGGATTTTC